TTAATCGATGATATGATAATTAAACAATAAATCTTAAAAAATAAAAAAAGATGCAATTAATAAAAAAAATAAATAAATATTATGTATTAATTGTGTCAAATAAAAATTAAGTATGATATGTAAAAAATATTTATATAATGTAGATGAAACATATGATCTAAAATTGACTTGAAAACAAGGCTATTTTATTATCTATATGGTGGGTCAATGATCCAACTTTTCAAAGATACTCATGATGCCATAATTGAATAAGCAATATTTAAAAAAGATAGAACACAAAAAATAAAAAAGTACAGAATAAGCAATATTTAAAAAAGATGTAAAATTTGAAACCAATTAGAAATAAAACTATTTTCCTATTCCCTCTCATTAAATTTCATATCTAAGATATATTCTCTCATTAAATCATATGTTTAAGATATATTTTGAATCATTAAATTATACTAATGAAATCCACAACATTAATTTTAATAGTATAACAATAAATACCTGGTGGTGGGTAAGCAATTCAACCATTTGGGGTCAACTGTGTTAATAAATAATGCCATAATTAAATAACAAAAAATAAAATATATAATACAAAAATAATAAAAATTTAACATATCTCTAATATTGTATATTCATTATACTAAACAAAAATAAGTATTTAAAAAAAAAGAAAATACAAAGAATCACAAAAAATAAAGAAAATTTTGGGCACATATCCAATGTTACAAATTTACAAAAATAAAATATTAGGTACATCTCTAATATTATACATTCAATATATTGAAAAAAAATAAGTAGTTTTGGGTAAAATAACAAAAATAAGTATTAAACATAAGAAATAATTTTATCAATGATGGAAATGTAATACAAAATTTAATGTTAGCCTATAAATCAAACTATTTTCTTTTTGGGTGGTGGGATAGTGGTTTGGGTCAAATGGATCAATTGATGATATGATAGTTAAATAGTATATCTTTAAAAAGATAAAAAAGTATAAGTAATCAAAAGAATATATAAAAATAATATTTTAATTATGTCAAACATAAATTAAGTGTGATAAGTAAATTTATTTTTATAATGAAGATGAAAAGTATATTTTAAAACTGATATGAAAGCAAATCTATTTTCTTATCTAGGTGATGGATCAATGATCCAACTTTTCAAGGAAAATTATGATGTCATAATTGAATAATAAATATTTAAAAAAAAGATAGAACACAAAAAATAAAAAATATAGAATTTTGTCAAAAACATTTGAGAATATTTCTAATGTTATATATTTGTTATGTTAAATAAAAATAATTATTAAAATAAGTTTATTTTGAATCATGTTGTTACTTTTGTTAATTTTCAATTTCTATATGTAAAAGTCAAGTAATTAATATGAAGAAAAATATCTCACGTGCAACGCCGCACGTGCTTAATGACTAGTTACGTAATTTGTATAAAAATCAGGGTTGTATTTGATGGATCTAGATAAGTGTGATTTTTTGGTAATGGACCCAATATGTGGATTAAGTCGGACCCTCCTTCCAAAGAGTCYGGATCTCTTGCTCACACAAACTCTGGCCACGTCTACCCACATAATATTGCAACCACACATGGAGAACATCTCATCCTCCTACATAGTATTATGCAGGGGGAGATGTTCCCAATTCACAGGGGTAGTGTGTTGTGGGTAGACATGGGTAGGAGATCCGGAATCCCTCCCAACACGTACAAATAAAATGATTGTACTTCGCTACTATGAACTACCATGGCCGACCAACTCTCGATGTATACTTCTCTATTTATTCTTTTGGTAGAAAAACAATATTTTTATTAATGAGAAAAAGCACCCCATACCTATGAACCATGATGCAAGGGCATATAGTGTAGGCAATAGGCTTAATTGACCCAACATGAACCAAATTAAGACTCCGAATCACCTATTCACGAGAACTCAGCCCACGTTTACCCACAACACACTATCCCCGTGAATTTGGAACATCTCCCCCTGCATAATACAATGTAGAAGGATGAGATGTTCTCCATGTGTGACTGCGATGTTATGTGGGTAGACGTGGGCATAGTTTGTATGGGAAGAAGATTCGGACTCCCAAATTAAATCAGTTGAATCCAGCCTGAGCGATAAATTAATAAAATTTGCCAATGGCATATAACTGGCCACCTCTTATTGACATGGCATATAAGGCCCTGTTTGGTTTGCAGGAATAGGGGCCTTATAACTTCTCCATATATATTATCCATTCGGAATCAGAATGGGCTATTTCGATTCCAATTGTTTCGTTGGCAGAATCAGAATTCCATTCCCATTCCTATTGGAATGGCCATTCCCTCACCCTACCCCTCCCATGGGAATGAAATCTCATTCCTTCTGGTTCTAATTCTCATTCCCATTCCTGTCTGAACCAAATAGACTATGGGAATAGACCACTTCGACTATGATTCCGATTGTGAACCAAACAGACCCTAAGATTCTACAAGTGTTTACATTTAAGACAGATTAGGAAAAATACATAAGTAGGGGACCATTTCCAAATGAGGCCCCACATGAAGATTTCCTCTCTTAACTTCAAACCAAAATCCATCTCTCTTCCTATGCACGACTTTGTTGCATTCATCACCAAATTCCCCTCTTGCCACTCATTGATTATTCAGAGTCTCGCCCATGCCTATGTGGAGTGAGATCAAATCAGCCCCCCACAATGTCCCAAAGAACACCCCCGCCGTGTATTGGGAACATCTCCTGATGATAATACCACAAATGATGATGTCATCATCGGGAGATGTTTCCAATACACGGTGGGAATGTGTTGTGGGACGTTGTGGGGGGCTGATTTGAGTTCATGTGGACTCCATGCTGCACATGAGGAGTGTACATACCTCGTATGAGGCATTTAAGTGTATGCTTGGTTTATAGTCAGAATTGGAATCGAAATTGAATTCCTTTGGAATCAGAATCGGAATTGTCTATTCTCATAATCTATTTGGTTCAAACGGGAATGAGAATGTGAATTGGAATCAACAATAATTAGATTTCATTCTCAAGAGAGGGGTAGATAATGGCCATTCTCTCAAATGGGAGAATGCCATTCTGACTCCATCCAACCAAACGGTTCGAATCGGAATAACCTATTCCAATTTTGATTATAAACCCCTATACGAACCAAAAGGGTATCAACATGATATGCCCCCTATCGAGCATATTGTATTGATAAGTGATCCATATGTCTTTTTTAATATTCTTATACTCTGATTGTCAAAAACTTTTTAATCTCTTCACAATTTATACTAGACAAAGTTCATGCATAGAATAGATGCATTAGGCTCACATCCGAAGGCTGTTGCTTAGTTTTCAATCATTGTCGCATATTCATGTAAATGTAAATAGATAGTTAAATCTAATGACCCACCTTTTTGCTTACTTTGCTTGTAAGAGTAAAGTCACTCTCGTATATAACTCTTCTACCCACAATTATATAAAGTTGTTTTTTAATCAATGAAGCTGCTTTTGTCTGCCAAAAAAATGTTAAATAGCCTCTAAACCACCCCTGGCATGTTTTAGAAAAAGCTGAAAAATATATATGAGTACAAGGTTCAAAGTGTCGATACACACACTTGTGATCTATCGAGGTGTATGAACATTGAACCTTAGGTGTTCACAACACAACCTCCTTAAAAGTCAAAACTAATTCATAAAAAGACAAAGTAATGAGTGCAGCCGCTTTAGCTTTTGTCAAACAACTCTTAACTCACCTCTTATAGCTTGTGATTGAAACATTGAGGTGGTATTCAAGAACCATTACACTAAAATGACAATTTTTGGTTTAAACCACACGTGCAAAAGATACAGATTTATTTATTTTTCACTCATAAAAAACAATTTTCATTTTTTTGAACCATTATATGTGAGCATGGACTCATCATTTGTCTTTGATTTATGGTTATCATCTAAGAGAGATATTATATATAGTCACATTGGAGTCCGAATCTTCTCCTCACAAAGTGCGTTTCACACCAACCTCATAGCATGCTCTGGCCACACATTGGGAATATCTATCATACTTGTATTTATTATTCATGGAGAGATGTTCCCAATACAAGATGGAATGTGGCTATGAGGGTGCCATTTGTGAGGAATAGATCCCAATTTGGAATTCAGATTAGCTGAATGCTTTATCTGTTTAAAAAGATATAGGCTCCATGTATTTAATACTGACATAGAACCTTATCATAGCTCCACAGCCCCTGAACAACTAAACCTCTCTCCCCAATTCATCATAACGGTGTTTGAGACACACTATATGATTGTCATATCATGTTTTACAATAGGAGAAAACCACGTTTACTAGTTGAGAAAGCTATGAAAAAGGAATTATTTGGCTAGTTTTGGAGTTATGGTTTGCCAATTGCAAAATATTTTATGTTTGTAAACATAATGAAACACGAAAACAACTACAAATCAATCACCCATAATTATTATTTATTACACCCATTCGTTAACTTGCCATTGGTTTTATTGACCCTTTTCCCTACATTTTCCTTTCTTTCCTTACTTTTTCCTTCAAACCAAACACAATCTAAGTGTTGACAATTGCAAATGACATTTAAAATTTTTCAAAAGGGTATCATACCTAAGAATAACGAATCAATTAGCATTCATTCCAATTCATGTGGGTTTTTAACTAGTTAAAGTTTTTCTAGAAATTATATATTTTCATTACTATAAGATCTAAAATGTTAAAATTTATGGTTACGTTAATTTAAAATAGCAGGTTAGTGTGGATCCGACAACAAAAACTCGGAAAGGAATGTTAATATATATAAAATAGTTAAACATAAAATATCAAGTTGTCGATATGTCCGAGTGGTTAAGGAGACAGACTCGAAATCTGTTGGGCTCTGCCTGCGCAGGTTCGAATCCTGCTGTCGACGTTCTTTTTTCACTGAAGTTTCTTTTGACAGTTTGACAGTTTGAAATATTACCATTTAACTCAATGCTACTCACCAAACAGCCTCTCTCCCTAGCCGTTTCATTTGTGATTTGTGTAATCTCCCCAAAAAAATGTGCAGACTTTAGCTATCGGACCCGTGCTTGGATCTGCAGATTCACAGTTTCACTCTGTCTTTAAGTCTTAGCAAAAGGTTCCACCGTTCCAATCGTCGCTTCGAATAGAAAATTAGAAAACCCTAGTTCTTTTTTTTTTTTTTGCAGGCAAGAACCCTAAATCTTTGTTTCTCGTTCCCTTTGGCCTTTGCTCTTAAAATATCCGGAGATTCAAGAGCCCTTGAAACCCTAGCGTAGCTCCTCAAAAATGGCGACAAACGGGCCGAACTTAGAGTGCCGGATGTACGAGGCGAAGTACCCGGAAGTTGACATGGCGGTGATGATTCAAGTGAAGAATATCGCCGACATGGGAGCTTATGTTTCTCTTCTTGAGTACAATAACATAGAGGGTATGATTTTGTTTTCGGAGCTCTCTCGTCGTCGGATTCGCAGTGTGAGCAGTTTGATTAAGGTCGGGCGACAAGAGCCGGTGATGGTTCTTAGGGTTGATAAGGAGAAAGGTTATATCGATCTCAGCAAGAGAAGGGTCTCTGAGGAAGACATTCAGGCCTGCGAGGAGAGGTATAACAAGAGCAAACTTGTTCATTCCATCATGCGCCATGTTGCAGAAACGATGCAACTTGATTTAGAGGTACGTGAATTCATTTTTTAGTCCGTCTCTCCTATTATGAAATGCGTTTCTATTAATTTTCATTTCTATTGGGTGCTCTGAAGATGAGTATTCAAATCCTAAAGCTCAATGCGCCCCAACGGGGAGGCGGTGAGTCCATTGGGTCTTGATATGTGAGAGTTAAAAGCTAGATTATGTACTTGATTAAGTCTTTAAATTCTCATCTTCCAAGTGTACTTCTAAGGGAAGCTAGTAACTATGTGTTAAATTCAACTAGAAACTCAATGTGGGTTTGTTGTTTCAGTTAATTATTTTGAGTAACAAGCTAATTTGGTCTCATTTACTAGTGGTGGTGTACTTGGTTGCTTATTTCTGGTTTGTTTTTTCATTTTTAATGCCCCTATGGAAGAAATAATAACTGTTAGGTTGTAATTGTTGTCAAAATATATTCATCAAAAAAATTGTTGTCAAAATATCTATTGGCCCATTTATCCATTCTTCCCCAATTGATGAAGCTACTGCATCTCGTCTGTCAGAAAGGAAAGACTGCGTTACAGAAACTCTAACATTTTGCTGTGACTGTCTTATATCTGGCTATCAGATATTGCATATGCTATGCTTGTGCTAGATTTCTTCTATATTGCTATGTGCAACCATGGTTCATACTTAGCTATCTTTGATACGGGCTCGTGGTTATCTACATGATGCCAAGGCTCCCTTCCAAGCTGAATTACTGAACAATGCGACAATGTCTTTATATATGGTTGAATGGCTTATAAAGTTTTGTTGTTATAGAAACCTCTTGAGAGAGTGACCAGTTGGAACTTTGCGACATGGGATGGAAGGACCTAAATTATTCAAAAGTTAAATACTTAATTACTTGGGGCATCAACCAAAATAGAAGAACCAACTTTCTCAAATTTGTCACTCTCTTATGTCATACTTTTAGGTCAAAATATCAGCCGTTTGGTGGGATTATCTGCTTATCTTTCCAACAAGCCTAAAATCAAACATTCAAATTACTATATTTGGTGAGCTTTATTATTTTAGGATTTATAAGTGGTTTTTGACAGGATTTTGTATTTTCTTGAGAGTCTTAGTTTATTCACATCTTGTCTTAGTTCATATCCTTTTCCTTATGAAAACGTCCCAGTTTAGGTCTTATCTGTATAATCAGAAACTGATGCCAGAATGTGCAATATTTGCAAACAATTTGAGAACTTCCACACACATGATGTTCTCTCTTACTTGTGAATATATATTTTTTTTATTGTTGTAAATTTAGCTGCATTTATTCATATCCATATAAAATTTGCATATTCATTTGCAAAAAGAGTTGCAATGTCTTTGTTACTACAACTGGTTGGAAGTAGCAAGGATTTTGGGAAAGTAAAATTTCAACATGAACCTGTCCTAATGGTTGTGACGTGCTTGTCCACTGGTCATGGGTCATGCTTGTTGATCTTCATCTTCCATGGATTAGGCAGGTGAACTATATGCTAAATCATCTTGTTCCCCTGCTATGGTGTATTAGTTGTCTCAGTTTTCTATGGCATGACAAAGTCAGTCAATCCAAAAGTCGGGTTTGGTGGTGGAGTGAACTGGTGGGAGAGAAAATTGGTGGTTGGAGGAGAGAGGGATGTGGAATGYTGATGGAAAATGGAGGGAACTGTGAGGGAGAGAGCCCAGAGTCTGGATCTGCTCTTCACACCAGCCTCACAGCATGTACCAGCTGCACATTGGGAACATCTCCCGTACATGTACCAGCCGCACATCAGGAGATGTTCCCAATACACGGTGGGATGTGGCTGTGAGGTCGGTGTGAGGAGCAGATCCCAACTCGAGACCTGGCCAGAAGAAGAGAGTGAGAGAGTTCAGGTCTGGGTTCCCCCGAATTTGGGAACCCAGATTCTTTATATATTTTTCTTTTTACATAAAGGAACTTATTTAGAATCTTCTTACCATCTCAATATGGGTGGCCAACTGTTTACCCTTTCCCACCCTTGCTTGACTCAAAGCTAGGCCTGGTTTAATATTTCATGACCCGAGATGGTTTGGGTTCAAGTTGGGTTAAGTGGGTCTATTGCCATTTATAAGTCTATGTCCTTACAATTAGTATTAAAAGATTGCCAGGGGGTGGCTGAGTGCTCACTTTGGTTATGTATACTCCTTGTATACACTTTTTCTCTTCAATAATATCATATTCCTTACCTTTTCAAAAATAAAAAAACCTAGTGTTAAAAGATGCAGTCATCAGGATGATTTGATGGGCTTTATTTATTACCCAGAAGTGTTGTTTGGTTACACCTAAATATGATTTAATGTTGTAATCATTGGGCCTATACGAAATTATATCTGCTTATCTTGGTGCTTCTTGATATATATTCTCCACAATGAAGTACCAGTATGGGAACTTAACCGGCTGCCCTTGGATCTATTTGTGGTAACAATCCATGAGCTATTTGAGTTAATCTAATGTTGTGATAATCTTTTCATTTGAACTATACTCAGGTTCTTATGTTGCTGATCTATATTTATTGTGTTCTGTTATTGATGATTCTTATTCTGTGGGTTTAGACAACCTTTTTCTTTTTACTTTTAGATTGGAGAAATGGAAGAAACTGAAAATGTTCTCCAAATACTTGAATTTTCTCTTTGTTCATCCCTCTTTATTTTATGGTATTAACAACTTATCATGGCCTTGATTACCATTCACTAGAGTTAGTGGAATGTGTGTATTACAGTTAACTGATTGGTTGCACACTTGTCTTACTCAGCTTCTTGATATGTTGAGCTTGTGTGCTCCTCTCTCTCTTTTCCTTTGCATGTGGTTTCCTTTCCAGGTTCCAAATGGTTTGATTTCTTTTTATTCCTTTTGCTAGCATAACTCAATACTTGTTAGAATGTTTCTTGAAACTGTTGCATGTATTCCCATGTGCAACCTGCTGAATGTTGGAGTTTAAACATTGCAGGATTTGTATATCCATGTTGGTTGGCCTCTGTACCGCAAATATGGGCATGCTTTTGAGGTGATACCCCTGAACTTTTCATTTTTGGTTTTTAAAGGAATTGTTTGCTTTTGATCTTGTGGTTATTCTTCCCAAGTCTTCTTGTTTGAGCAGGCATTCAAGATAATTGTTACTGATCCTGATTCTGTTCTAAATTCACTTACTCGTGAAATTAAAGAAGTTGGTCCTGATGGCCAAGAGGTAATGAAATTGTACCTGGGATCTTGATCACCATCTCTATTGCTGATTTTCAAACTAATTTGCAATTTATTTATCTTACAGGTGACCAAGGTAGTGCCTGCTATGTCAGATGAGGTTAAAGATGCTCTGATAAAAAACATTAGGAGGCGAATGACCCCTCAGCCATTGAAGATTCGAGCAGACATTGAAATGAAATGTTTCCAGTTTGATGGGGTTCTCCACATTAAGGTTTGATCGTGGCTATCCTTTGCTGCCACAATACCATTAGTTGAAAGTTGAAACACTATCATTACTCCTGATTGTGCACTGTGCCTTTGGGGCTGAAAAATTCTGTTTGTAACCTCATAGCATTTTTAATTTGCAGGAAGCTATGAGGAAAGCTGAAGCTGCTGGTAATACTGATTGCCCAGTGAAGATTAAACTGGTTGCTCCTCCACTCTATGTTCTAACAACTCAAACTCTTGACAAGGTCAGTTATGAGTTTTGCACTAATTTGGTACGGTGAAGTTACTATGACCTATGTTATTACTTGTTCGGATTCATGCATTTTTGCTACATTTTGTGGTTGATTCTATTCTGTTATCATTTTATCACTTCGATCTGCTCATTTATTGCTTTTCTCACCTTATTTTTAAATTTTAATATGATAGTCCATGTTATGGGGAGCATTGCTTGGTGTAAATGTAAAAAAAAAAAAACTGAGTGGCAAGTACGAGTACTGGGTTTCAGTCTGAGTGTGGTCACTTTGTATGAAAAAATGCAAAGGTTAGGTCCATTTCCGGTCCATCCCTCCCAAGACCCCAGATATTTGGGACCTACATTGAGTAAATGGTCTTTTTAGTCCATGCTATGGAGTTCTTCAGTTCCACGGGGTTTATTTACTTGTTTATTTATATATTTTGGTGGGGATTTGGGTTTTTTCTGTCAGTAGCATACAAACCCAACCTTAATAACAGAGAAGATGAGTTCATCTGTAGCTAGATCCCACCTGGCCTCAAATTTAAGGGCTGTTGACCCAAGCCCAATGGAACTTCGTTTCATTGGGTCTTGACTTATCAGCTTATCATGGGTCTTGACTTTGGAACTTTGTTTCATTCATAGCTCTTTCAGCGTATAACATGTAGGGAATTAACAAATAACAAGTAATTTTAGAGAACAGCAGAAGCATCTTGACCTGAAGCTAAGTTGGCTTTATTTGGTCATATTCCAATGGTGGAACTGATGTGAAATATTCAATCTAGAAAACTGGCAGTGGTTGGACTGTGGGTGTGGGATGCTTCAGGTATGTTCACAGCCAAGTCTTTCTTCAAGAAGCTCAACTACTGACTTTTTTTTTTTTAATTTTATTTTATTTTGGTTTTTTCCCTCAAGTCCCAAAATCTAGTGCTTGCATTACTGTCATGAGTGCTCTTTTTGGCATGTTGAACATCCTTTGGCAAATCAAATGCCTAACCATGGACAGCCTACTATATTAAATAAGGAAAGAATAAATTCTTCACTTAAGAGGCCATCATAGTTCACAGAGAACATTTCAACCTATGTAGCAAGTTGGGTAAAGACTATGGATGTTTTTGCACCTTTTACCACAAAGATATTCTCAGAAATATGCAGTATGTTGTGTCCTTCCCCTCCGTTAGAGGCATTTGCATACAACGGAGCCTCCTGACCCAAAACACTATTAAGTTAAAACTTTGACGGATGCAACTTAGGGAATCCAGGTCCTTTTGGAGTAGGGAGGAGTATGTAGGATTTAGGAATTTGGAAGGAAATATATTAGCTATCAAGTATGGAGCTGTTGGTTTTGGAGTTCTATTTGGAGTTTTGGACAGAATTGTGAGACGGCGCTTCAAGGGTCAAGGATGGCAAAATCCCTACACTAAAGAGATAAATTAATTAAAGGGGACTCACACATGATCATAGGCTGGATAAAGGGGAAGTATACAGGGCATGGAACTATGGAAGTACAGACATACCTTAAAGGAGATCAATAAATTGGCATTGCAGCTAAAATGGACACCATGTTCAGCCAATAGTTGTAAATGGACAGGCAAAATGGGGGTGAAAAGAACTTGTATTTATTGAGTTTAACCTCTCAAGCAGACAGAAAATACTAGTGGTGGGTAGCTGAAGGTAGCAATCTGCTAACAAGTGGTGCTTGACACATTATAGATGTATATGGATTTTCTTGCATATATCAATAAAGTTGTTAATTGTTACTGGTAGAAACCAGATTCTTCATTTGAAGGAAGTTAGAATAAAGGTAGATACAGAACAACCTAAGGCTGACAAGAATATATTCCGATGCCAATATAATCAAGTTATTTATCAAAATAAAGAAAAAAATTGACTGTAAGACAACTTGATTATTTTAGCATCTTGATTTAAGTCAACAATCCCAATGTTTGACATTTTTGTTGGGTGGATCATTCAGTCATTTTTGAATTAAGCATGACTAATTTGCATCACCTTGTGCACGATGGTGTCAGACGAAGATAAATTTTTTTGTTTTGGTAAGTATGAAGATAAATTCCTTTTCTTGATTAAGGGTTTGGCTATGGGACTAGGGGGTCTGGAATCGGAATCAGAATGGATCATTCCAATTCCAACTGTTTGGTTGGGCGGAATCGGAATACCATTCCCATTCCTGCTGGAAATCTGGAATGACATTCCCCATTTGAGGGAATGACCATTTCCTCCCCCTACCTTGGGAATGAAATCCCATTCAAGTCATTCCAATCCAGATTCTGATTCCTGTCCGAACCAAACAGACTATGGGAATAGACCATTCTGATTCCGATTCCAAGGGATTTTGATTCCGGTTCCAACTGCAAACCAAATGGACCCTAATTTTTTGCTATCAATTTCTTTTTTTTCCCTGTCCTGAAGTGATTTTAGTGGCAGTGCCCTCCTGATGATCTTACTTGTATAGTTTATCTATGTTGTTCCAAGCCATATTAGTAAATTAGAGCAAGTTTGCTAGTTGGGTTGTGTTACATGTATGGAGTCCAAAAGAGCCATGTTTTGTGATCTTATCTCATTTTTTTTATCAGAAAAAAGGTAATTTTATTAAATTAATTATATATGTTAGTACAACTTGACAACCATAATGCTGTCTCAAAATATCCAAGGGTAGTTCACAATGAAGCCCAAAAAAGTTGCTGCTTTTTATTCCCTTGCTTATTAGGGGAATCAGCTAACCCGTTTGCACTCCTCACCCTCTTGAATTCAGCATTTATATCCTTTGCAATCCTTTTGAAGACATGTTTAAGAGTCCATGGGGTATGTCTATTACAACTTGCACAAAAAAGGGGCAATAGGAGAAATAACTTCATTTCTAGGTTGGAAGAGGAGTCCAGAATCATTGATGATACACAAGAAGTGATGGAGGAAATTGGAAGATTCTATATCAATCTATATAAGGCTAATCCAAGCAGAAATGTTTTCTTGGGTGATGTAGAACCGGAAAGGATTGGGGAGGGCCTAAGGGATTGGTTGGAAAGGGAGTTTGATGGAAAGGAAATTTGGGAGGCAGTTAATACTATGAAAGGTGACAAGGCTCCAGGTCTTGATGGGCTTAATATATCATTCTACAAAAATTGTTGACATGTGCTAAAAGAGGATGTTTTGAGGATGTTCAATGGATTTTGGAAGGAGAAAATTATTGAGAGAAGTGCCAATGAAACTTTCATATCTCTAATTCTGAATGTGGAAGGGGCCTCTAGAATCAAAGGTTTTAGACCAATCAGCTTAATTTCAACCCCATACAACATAGTAGCCAAAGTTCTCTCTAGAAGATCGGTCTTACATGATTTTGTAGGCTCAATCTAGATGGCTTTTGTGGAAGGCATGCAAATTTTTGATGGGGGTGATGATTGCAAGTGAATGTGTTGAATCAAGGCTGAGAAGCGATCATCCAGGTTTAGTTTGCAAGCTTGATATTGAGAAGGCTTATGATCATGTGAATTGGGGTTTTTGGAGGATTTCTTGGTTAGGATGGGTTTTGGGGAGAGGTGGAAAAGTTGGATATTTGTGCATATTTTTTTGGTTTCCTTTTTAGTTCTTGTCAGTGGGATATCCACACCTTTTTTTCCAAGCACATAGGGGCTTGCGACGGGGAGATCCGCTATCACCATTGTTGTTTGTCTTGGTAGAAAAAATCCTAAGTACTTATTTTCTAAAGGAGCATAAGTTGGGATGCTGGAAGGGTTTAGAGCAGGAGGACCTGGAACCTCTATCACTCATCTTCAATTTGTGGATGACACATTGGTATTTTTGGGTGCGCCAATGGACCTCAGGTTTTATGAAATATTGGCAGGTCAAAAGATCAATTTGAAGAAGAGCGTGATGATTGGGATGGGTGATATCCCTGATGCTTTATTGGAGGGCTGTGCTTCAGCTTTGAGTTGTTTGGTGAGGGAGTTTCCTTTTACTTATTTTGGGTCTCCCTATAGGGGCAAAAGCTTCGGTCTCATTTACTTGGCAATCGGTTCCCGAAAGCATTGATACAAAACGGGCAGGTTGGAAGGGAATGTATCTTTCTCTTGGTGGAAGGATTACTCTTATTAAGAGTGTGCTTTCCACTCTCCCGGTTTATTACCTCTCACTTTTTTGAAGGCTCTCTACATTGTGATAAATTCAATTGAAAATTTGTAAAAGGAGTTCTTATGGGGAGTTAAAGGGATTGAGAAGAAATTCTACTTAGTTAAGTGTGATAAAATGTGCACTGAAAAAAAAAGATGGCGGCTTGGGGATAAGAAAATTGAAGATATTCAATAAAGCCCTCTTAGGAAAATGGTTATGGAGATTTGGGTTGGAGAGTGAGGCGCTTTGAAGAAGCGGGTGGTGGCTTGCAAATATGGAGTTATTGGTTTCGGGTAGGATCTAAAGAAGTGAAGACATCTTATGGGGTAAGTGTATGAAAAGGGATTATGTGTTTCTAGTCCGCTTTTCTTAACCTTGTTTCCTTTAGAGTTGGTGATGGTTCAACAATCTAGTAATGGTCTGTTCTCAGTCAAATGCTTCTATAAGTCCCTCTCAAGGTCAAGTGGAGAAGATTCAGGGTTGAAAGGCATTTGGGGGAACCCTGTTCCCCTAAGGATACACATCGCTTAATTGTACCAGAGTCACATATCACTCCTGTACGTACCAAAGTGGTATTAAAGCAAGGTTTGGGGGAGGAGGCACACATGGATCAGATTGAATCTGAACTTGTTATGGACACGACACCCGGCAACACGCTGCGCCGCAACCACATGCAGCAGCGTGCCTAGCGGCACGCACCGCCCGGCAGCGCGCCGCGGCACAGGCTGCATGCACCGCCTGGCAGCGCACCGCGGTACAGTCTGTCACACCGCCTGGCAGCAGCACGCACCGCACGACAGCAACACTCGACAACAGCACGCACCACACGGCAGCGACACACACCACACGGGTGCAGCATGCACTTCACAGCAACAGCAAGGTGAGACG